ATCACAGGGGATGACTCATGAAAACAAGGCTATGGCTGGACTTCCCTGCTCAACTTGAAACCAGCTCTGCCAATCTGAGAGTCTCTCCCTCCCTAAGCACTTGCTACTGTTTATGTGACCTTGAAGGGTAGCCTTGCAAAGCTTGTGACTTTGTAGCTCACTGAGTCTTGTCAGTTTCGGGAACCTCCTGAGCCTGGTATCTTTCATCAACTTTGGAATCTTAGAGGATTTTCTCCTGTCTCCATGATGGAATGATTCAATTAGGGGAAAAATAGCTCTTCAGCTTACTGGCTTGCTCCCCTGGCCTGTGCTCAGCCTGCTTTCTTTACAATACAAAACAACCTGCCGGGGGAGGGGGTGTGCTGCCCACATATCACTCAACAGTCAAGAAGATGCCCCACAGATAGGGCCACAGGCCAGTCCAATAGAGGCAATTCCCCAGTTGAGGGTCCCTCTACCCAGATGTGTTGACAACTGAAGCTGTCCAGCACACCCACACATCAAGTGAAAAGACACTAATGTTATAGCAGTTAAATTAGCTATTTTGACCCAAATTACATTAAAATACTGACAAACCACTTGGTTGAGTCTAAATGATTATAGTCTTTTTGTTATTTTTATTTTATGTGTGTGAGTTTAGTATTGCCTACATGCATATAAATGCATCTGTGTCATGCAAGGCCTGAGGAGGTCAGAAGAGGGTGTTGGATCCCCTGGAACTGGAGCTATGGATGGTTGTTAGCTGCCATGTGGGTGCTGAGAATTGAACCTGGGTCCTCTGTAAGAGCAGCCAGAATTTTTTATTATTGAGCCATCTCTCCAGCACCTAAATGATTAGACTCTTATAATCATCTTTTACAGTTAAATCTTACCATAGCTGGGCAATGAAGATGTGGAAGGTAGTCCATCCAAAGCCATTTCATCCTAAGGACTGACTTGAAAAATAATAAAAGGTTTTTTTTTTTTTTTTTAAGAAATAATCATGGCAATACCTGTAGCAACCGATGCTGTTTTCTTCTGTGGTTTTTTTCAGAACAGACCTGTTCTATAGCACATTACATTTATCAGTATGTTATTCACACTGTTGATATATCATCTAGTAAACACCAGGCTAAGACTTTTACAAGAACACTTCACATTTCATTACGAACCAACTAGAGTTGGATAATAATTACAAATTTATAGTGTAAGCGAGACAAATTATATTTTATAGGGAGTGTAGTAGTAAATGTCAGGTTATAAACTACTTCTTAGAGTTATAATGTTCAGGTCTTAGGCTGCTTGGTGTTTTAATGATAAGCATTTTTATACAAGCAGAGGATAAATGCGGATGGAATTTTATGAAAGGGTCCTTGAAGGAAGTCAGACGTGACACTGTTTAACTGAACTGCATTTTCACTTCTTTGGATGCAAGAGGAAGATTTCCCAGGTTAGCATCCAAGAATTTCACAGTTACCTCCCAGACTTGGAATTAGCTCCCTTTCCAAATATAAATGAAGTGGAAAGAAAATATTCTCAATGTGAGTCCAGATCTAATTAAAATTTGGACATTACTCAGAATGCATAGTAGCTTGTCTTAGCATTTGTGATGATTAATGAACAGAGGCAGATGTCATGGAGCTTTGGAATATAGTCCATACTCTTTATCCTATCTTTATTACCGAAAGCAGAATAGAGTCTTATACACAGAGAGACAGGCTCCTATTACTGAACTTGCACTCTGTCCGTCTTTTACCCACGCTCACATTCACGCGGAAGTATTTCCACTTTTGAATTGTGTCGGTTTAATCTCAACATATATGAAATTAATCTTTACATTTCTAAAGAAAGATTGAACCTTACAGAGGGTTGAAAATAAAGAGCAAGATGCAGTTCCCACAGAGGCTGAGCACACTGTCATAGCATCTTTTGTGGTTATCCACTGCTGAAGTCGTAACATGATAGATCACTAGAGAACTCAGACATATCAATGGACTTGCGAATATCTTAGAACCTTATATTAACTAAGAGCTTTTGGTGTGACCAGGAAGATTTGTTTAACCCCCTGTTAATATCAAGAATTTAATGAGACTGGGGATAAAGGGCTTGTCACACAAGTAGGAGACTGAGGATTTAGATCCCTAGCACATACATAGAAATGCTTGGCAGGTATAGCAACTGTCTCTAGTCTCAGCACTTGGGAGGCTGAGAACAGGGATCCCTAGGGCAAGCTGTCTAGCTAGCCCCACTGGCTAAAACAGGGAGCTCTGGGTTCAATTCAGACACCCTGCCTCAGTATATAAGGTGGAGAGTGATTGAAACAGACACCTAGTGTCAACTTTGTTCTTCAACATATACATCCACATAAATAAACATACATCAACACACATGCATGTGCACACATACATGTGAGCTTACATATATGAAAGCATGTTTGCCACACACATACGTATTTCAGACAGAAGGAAGGACAGTAGGAAGGGAGGAAAGGAGGAAGGATTGTTTCTTTTGTTTCCTGGTATGGCAGTTTTAACACAGAGCCTTGGGCATGATAGACAACTAATCTAGCACTGACTTCTGCCAACAGACTCCAAGAAATGGGTTTTGATCAGGACCCTTGTGGGTTTTTAGTGGCCTCTTTCTGCCTTCTCTCAATTTTCAAGTTATCATCAATACTGGGTGCACACAGTGTTATGCTGCCTGCAAACATTTTTAGCCTAGTAAATGGTTCTCTGTTTTCCAAGCGCTAACTGGAACGCCTTACACTAAAATACTCTAATAGAAACTTGACTGAAGTAACTATGGAGTCCATTTCCACCAAATCCATGCGACACATGCTACAGTATGTATGTCAGAGCGAGAAGAGCTGAACGTTTAATTGCTGCGGTTCCTGTCTTCCCTCCACAGCCTGTATTTCTTCACATCTTTTTTCTTTGAATCTTTCCAAACCCATCAACATTATATAAATGTTAGAAATTTTAATAGCACGTTTCTTATCCATATACAACCCGGATCGTTCAATGCACCCACAAAGGGTAGTGGGGCACTTAGCAAGTAGAAAAATCTTTTATGAAATGACAGGCTTTCCATGTATGCAACTTCTAAATTCAGTACCTGGGAGAACTTGAACTTATACGCAAAGAGAGATTTGAAGTTTAGGGCATTTTTGATATCCACGCTACGGAGTTGGAATTGGATCCCAGCAAAAACTCGGGACCCTGTAATGGAAACATTCTAGGCAGGGCATGACTCTGGGATTAAATTTCCAAATTTCGTAAGCTTTGAATCGTCTGAATGTGGAACTGATTGTCAATATTTTTGAGTGCTGCATTTTTAGTTTTTAGTGTGTGTGCTAACTGCACTTTTTCAAAGGTTTGTGAGCTAGGGTCCATCCAGCCCTCCACCTGTTTTTGTAAAGAAGATTTTACTCTCCTTCACTGACATTTTGTAAAATCACCTTGGCTACTTTTGAGCTACAACAGTCATTTGGGAGAAAAGATAAGTTGAAAAACTAAAAATATTGGCTATTTGACCCATTTTGAAAAGCTTTTGGAGTCCAATTTATTTCATGAAATGAGGGAATGAATGCTAAGAAAATAGTATCAAAATTCAACAATGATGGCCACTGGCCACTCGGGAGACAGCAAGGGTCACAACACTTTATTGTAAGGAAGGAAAATGTACCAGAGAAACACATTGAGTCCCATGTCACAGGATTGCTTTTTAACATGTTAAGAGTGCCCCACAGACAGCTCATCTCCGTGCATGAATACCTGGCCATCATTCGTTAACAAGTCTCCTTCGAGTCTAAAATCTCCCTGGGTAGCGAAACTTTGTAGATCGCCTTTGAGCTCAGTGCCCAGCACTTGAAATGTTCATCAATGTTCCACAAAGAATCTCTGGGGCTGGAGATATGGCTCAGTGGGTCACAGAACTTGCTTTGCAAGGACGCGGACCTGAGTTCAGAGCCACACCACCAGCCTCAAAAGATACACATGGCTGTGCGTGGCTGTTGGCCCAGCCTTGGGGTTCTGGAAAGAGGCGGACCCTAAGTGCTCACCACTTGGTCAGCAAGGCCCAAACAGTGAGCTTCTGCTAAACTGAGACACCTGTCCCAAGGCAGTATGGTAGAGTGGGACACAGGAAGACATCTGAGGTTCTGTTTGGCCTTTACATCCAAGCACAAGGGCATGCACTTCTGCACGTTCATGTTTGTAACACACACATACACACATGAGTGTTAGAGTGAATGTGTACATACATTCCAGTACACACTCCAGTGTATTAATGTTGGCCATTTGCTGGGTGTTCTAACATTTCACTGTGACACCTGTCAACATTTGGGCGTGTGTCACTGATCTGCACAATTTATACATTGCTGTTGAGTGATGTGTCTAAAGGTGTCTTCATTCACCAGGTTGATACAATTTGTGCTTTTAAAAAGTAATTTGATACAAGTGGGCCTTGTTTCTTTTTAGGGCTGTGTACCATGTCTTGATGATGTGAGTTTCGGAGTCCGTGAAACTTCCCATTTCTTTCAAGAAACAGCATTTTAATATTATTTCATTTGCTTCACACCTCTGAAAATCCCCCTGTAATGAAAAATACTGGAAATATTCTTCAATAATTAAAGCATCTTTGCAACATGACAAATCCATGTTATTTGCCCATTTAAATTCTGGCTCACAGAATGTAAGGCATGTAGTTTGCCTTTAGGTATGCCAACACATTTTGAAGGACAAGAATCATTAATGTGAGCATAAAAGAATGTTGAAACAAAAATGCCTGTTATTTCACCACTGGAGTGAATGAGATAGGAGGATCAGGAGTTCCAGGCTAGCCTAGCCTACATAGTGACACTCTAAAACAGGAGTATCTTGCTACATCACCCACCTTCCCAATGAGGTGTGAGATAGAGATGAATGATCAAATTACATAAAATATCTTAATATTCACCTGGAGTATATCATACCATATGATTATGTGTAACAAGTAAATTAGAATGTCACTCTTTCTTGTAGAAGAGCAGCTTGGGAAAACACGGAAAGATGTGACTCAGTCTCCCTTCCAGCGAAGACGACCTCCTCAGCCCCTGGAGATTGGAGCTCCGTTCTATGAAGACAACCAACTGCAGGTCAAACTGTACTGGAAAAAGATCGAAGGTATCTGATTCTCACTTCGATACATTTTCTGTTAAACAGCACCATGATACAAAGAGATAGTTTAAAGAGCATACCCATTAACAGGCAGTGTTACATCAGTCACCGAGCAAAACAGTTATAAACTTCTTCCTAAACAACACACGGACACTGAATGGGGTGGTATTAAGACCCTGAATCTAGATCACATTTTGATACATGAAAGTCACATATGGCTCCAATGCTACATAGCAATGCATCAAGTTTTCCATCAGCTCTTTCTGAGTGCCTGTGTCTGAAGAATATGCACACGCATTTCCACGTAATATTGCACGAGTATTGGACTGGAGAAATGGCGTGGTGGGTAAGGAACTTAATGTGCTAGCATGACTGAGTTCAAACCCCCAGCACCTACACAAAAACCAGTAGGTATGTAGGCCACTGTAATCCCAGCACAGCAAGGACGTGGGCAAGGACGGGAGATGCCTGGGGCACGCTAGTTAGCTGTCTTATTGAATAGGAGCCCTCTGGATTCACAGAAAGACCCTGCCTCAGAAAATACAGAGGAGAGCAGTCCAGGAAGGCTCAGGTAGCAGCTTTGCGCTCCTATGTACATCATACCCACGCATGTGTCCCTGAACACATATGCACAGATGCAAATGAATTTAATATAATGAAAGTTAAAATTCAATGGACAGGCTGTATTGTCATACAGTTTTCATGGTTTTCCATTTCCTACATGGTGTGGATCCATTTTTCTATGTTGATGTCATGATTCTAATCCACTGAAGGATCCTCTTGGGAATTCTACTTCGTACTTCGTGCTCTGAAGAGCCTTTATCCTAAGGAACATTTCTGTGTGCACGTGATAATTTTATCTTTATCATGGATTCCTCTTATTCACCCACAATATTTATTTTGCATTATTGAATCAATACTTTGGTACTCAAATGACTTTTTTTGTGTTTTGGTTAAAAATAGGTTTTTTTTTTTTTTTTTTTTTTTGTATTTTCTATTGCTTCTGCGCATCTAAGAAACATTAAGCCAATAGGTGGTTTCAATAGTTTTGTTGTGAAAAGTCTTATTCTTCCAAAGTACTATTTGGTCAGGGTACTGATACCACCTAAGGAACTACACTGTTTGAACAGTTCTTGTAGCTGTTGGAACCTGTTATATGGCTAAAGTTTTAAAAATAATATATTTCTGGGCTGGAGAGATGGCTTAGAGGTTGACAGCCCTGACTGCTCTTGCAGAGGACCCGGGTTCGATTCCCAGCACCCACATGGTGGCTACGAACCGTCCTTAACTCCAATTCCAATTCCCTCTTCTGACCTCCGTGACATTGCATGACAGAGGTGCACTCACATACATGCAGGCAATATACTCATACACATAAAATAAAAATAATAAACATTTTTAAAAATAATATATTTCATTACTATCAGAAGTTCGTTAAAAACTGAGGTTGATGAAGTATTTATTATGATGGCATTAGCACTCTGGTTTCATATCCAAACTAATAAAATGCTAGAATGAAAATTCCATGATGAAACTTACTTGGTGCATTATATTTATCAATTTTAAATGACACAACATACTAATAACAAAGCATGTTTAATATCAAAAAGTGTAAACATACCATGATAAGAAGAACTTAATTTTCTAATATCAAAATATAGACGTCTCGAGCTTGCAAGAGCGACTGCCACCAAGCTCACTTTGAAAACCGAAAGTTTGTTTTGCCTGTGTTTAAAAACGTGTTGAAGTGGAATTGCAATTCGTACTTATGTTTCGCTTTTTTCAAACATTTTACGTGACAAAGAAATGGTTCTGTTGTGTGAAGCAATCCTTTATTCATTTATGTTGCTGTGCAGAACTCAACCTCAAACTTTGACATATCATTTCTAGTTTTCACAGAACTTAATTTAGTTCCAATGTTGTGTTGCTAAAATTACTTTGGGGGTCAGTGAGATGGTTCAGTGGGTTAAGGGTGCCTGCTGCCAAGCCTGACAACCTTACAGCAGTCCGTGACACCAACTCCAGAGTGGAAGGAGAGAACCAACTCCCACCTAGTTATCATGTGATCTGCAGACACATGCATATCCTGTGGTATATACACACATAAAAAGCAAAAATGGAAAAATAATTTTATTGTGAACATCTCCTTCACGTCTCTGTTTTCCAACCTGCCTTTTTCCTTCCTTCTCTCCTTCCTCCTCCCTTCTGTCATACTGGAGATAGAACCAAGGGCTGTGTGCATGCCAGCTCTACCACTCTCTTTTAATATTTATATTTGGAGGCAGGGTCTCGCTGCGACCCTGGCTGGCCTTGAACTTGTGATCATCATTTCCCAGCATCCCACATAGCTGGAATTATAGCCCTGGAGTATCAGCCACGAACGTGTGTTTTCTATGCCCATATATACACATTTTTCCACGGAGGTGGGATTCTTAGAATGCAGATATGTAAGTGTTTCAGAGCAATAATAGATGCCCAACATGTTAATAGTAATTCCTTTCTTAAAAATATTTTATCTATTATATTTATTTCATGTGTATGAGTGTACTGCCTGCATGTATGTGAGCGCACCCGTGTCGTGTAGTGCCACGGAGGTCAGAAGAGGGCTTCGGATTCTCCCAGAACTGGAGTTAAGGATGTTTGAAGCTGCCATGTGGGTGCTGGGAATCGAACCCGGGTCCTCTGTGAGAGCAGTCAGTGCTCTTGACCACTGAGGCATCTCTCCAGCCCCAAGAAATTCCTCTTTTAACTAGTAGCATGTGGTATTCCGAGTTCTTGGACATTCTCCCTTTCCATGTCCTTGTTTCAATCTTTTGGGGTAAAATCATTGTATTCATGTGTACTAACACCTCAATACCCTTTTTTGCTCTTTTTCAATACCCAAGAAGTTGAGCAGTTTTCCATAAGTGCACCGCAGACAGATCAAGATCTCTGTCCTTAAGCAGCGTAGCAATTCTTTTATCATTCTGTGAGCTAGAGTCTTTTATACATGACTGCTTTATTCATTACAGATATTTTTCCCACTTTGCCCTTTTAACTTTTTTATTTCTAGCTGATATATAGCATCATTTATTTACAACTTAATCCTAGCCAGCATAGTGGCGCACACCTTTAATCCCAGCACTCGGGAGGCAGAGGCAGGCAGATCTCTGTGAGTTCAAGGCCAGCCTGGTCTACATAGTGAGTTCCAGGGCAGCTGGGGCTACAAGGAGACCCTGTCTCAAAAAGACCAGAAAAAAAAGACTTAATCCTTCCCCGAGTTATGTGGTACTGTGTGTCCTTTCCCCTCTAAATCAAGCATATATGAATTTTTCCTGTTCTTATATTTATGCAGACTTTCATAGTCTCATATTTGCACAGTTTTCCAATGTTATGACCCAACTTCCTGTCTTCACCACAATAGATATATAATCAATAATCATAACAGTGTTCTAGTTTTTTTACTTCTGTTTCAGATTGCCTTAACGATTCCAAGCCCTTTACATTTGTTTGAAAATATTTTGTTATTTTTATTTTGCATGTATGAGTGTATTGCCTGCATGAGTGTAAGTGCACCTGTGACATGCAATGCCCATGGAGGTCAGAAGGCATCGAATTCCCCATGGAACTGGAGTTAAAGATGGTTGTTAGCTGCCATGTGGGCGCTGGGAATCGAACCCGGGTCCTCTGCAAGAGAAGCCAGTGCTTTTATCCACTGAGCCATCTCTCTAACCCACTCTGTACAATGTACAGGAAATTAGTCTTTCAGTCTCCACAAAAACATTGTGAAACCTTTATTGATTGCTATTTATTTTTATGTCAATGATGGAAGAATTCATATCTTAAATATACTGAGCTTGCCAGGCTATAAACTTGCTATATAACTCTATTTAGGCTCTTAAATACTTCTCTTAATCCTGTGTTGTAATACTTTGTAAACAGGATACACCACATTTAAACGTGACTATTTTGAGAGGTGTTTATTTTGACCTTATGCTAGAGAACGCATTCTTCCTTCAGTTTTATTTCATGATTTCTATTGATGCTCTAATATAAATGTTTATGCATAGACTGCCATTTCAGAAATACTGTGTTTCCTTGTTAATTGTAGCATTTCATGAGATGATTGTTTCTCACTTTTCTATAAAATATATCTCTCATTGCATACAGAGTGACAGTTTTACGTTTTGTTTTCTAGACGTTTTACATGTTTCTTCACTAAGATTTCCACCATTTTATTATCAATAGACTAAAAGTAATAATAGCAGATTCCATTTAATTGTAAGGGTTTTTAAAACATGTTCTTTCAGAGTAATGCCATTCTCTAGTGCTGTGATGTGCCCAAGTTTGGGCTGCGAATGGATATTGATTCTATTTTTAATTTATTCTTTGACAATGTCATACATGTGTACAATGTATCTTATGCACCCCCACACTCCATCCTTCCAAATCTCCCCATCACCCCCATCTTAATTACTTTTACTTTTCCTGTGATAAAACTTCATGACCAAGGGCACTTATGGAAGGAAGGGTTTATTTGAACTTCCGCTTCCAGGTTCCAGAGGGGTTTGAACCTGTCATGGTGGGGAGACATGGTGAGGCGTCTGGAGCAGGAGAACCACTCACATTTTCAAGCAAGCAGAGGATACAGATACAGTCTGACAAAGCTTAAGAACTCTCCAAGTTCGTCCTCAGTCATATGCTTCGTCCAGCAAGGCCACACCTTGTAAAGCCTCCCAAAACAGAGCCACCAGCTGGGAACAAAATGTCCACATGCTTGAAACTTATACGGGACATTCTCATTCAAACCACCACACCCTCCCAATACACGTCCCTCCCAACTTCACGTCCTCTTCTTTTTCAGTAACCCGTGAGGTCCGACGAGTGTTGTCAATATGTACATGGGCATTCATCATCCATTGTAGCTCCTACATCCTTTCTTTTCCTGTATCCCTCCATGTTCCGTGAGCCCCAGAAAAAAGAGGATATAGATGGCCCATTGACAGATCAGCACCGACAGGCACTTC